AACTACTTTTATAAAAATAAAGTCATTTTTTTGCAATAACTATCTCAGTTTAGAACTAAGGCAAAGAATGGTTAAGTGCTATATTTGGTCCATATCTTTGTATAGTGCAAGTGTGGACGCTAAAAGTATCGATAATGAACAAAATTGAAGCATTGGTAATGGGGGTTCATAGACGAATGCTGAAGATACCTTGGACAGCCAGGAAAACTAATGAAGAAGTACTAAGGAGTATCAACAAAGATAAAGAACTGCTAAAGACTGTTAAGCATCTAAAAATGTCTTATCTGGGACATATAGTCAGGGGAAGTCGATATAAAATATTACTACTGATCCTTAAAGGCAAAATAGAGGGCCGTAGAGGTGTAGAAAGAAAACAAGTTTCTTGGTTAAAAAAAATTCATGCATGGACTCAGATACCAAATGCAGGACAATTATTTTGTATTGCAAAAGATGGAGAAGCCTTCGCAATGGTAATCGCCAACGTCGGATAATTCTGATATGGCACGCGAAGAAAGAGAAGAATCTTACAATATCGCCAATATTATTTTGGCACTTGGCTTAGGTTTTTGAATAATTAGTTTTAGGCCTGTATATGTTTATTCATTATGCTTTTTTAAAACCATTTGCATACTATTTAATAGTCTTGTTACTTAGTCTTGACCGTCACTTTTTTTCTTGTTTTTTTAATAAAATAATTCAAAAAATGTATATATATATTATATATATATATATATATATATATATATATATATATATATATATATATATATATATATATATATATATATTTATGTAATAGTAAATAGAGATTTAAGAAAAATACCAGAGCTAAAATGATTATTTCATGGCTGTCGTGACATGAAGTAGACTACCAATAAAATATGCCTAATTTTTGATATTCTAATTATAAGAATTCTATAAATAAGACATTTGTCAATGTATAACTTTAAATATATCAAGTCATAATATGTGCATTATTGCACGTGTCCAATTATCATGTAAATTTTTGAAATTAGCGATGTTTTGATAAATTTGAAAAAGTTCAAACAGCTAAGTAAAGCTTTAAATATAAAGAGAGCTACAGGGTGCACCAAAGAAATGCGTGGTTTAATGTGTATGAAATACATTTGCACTAATTACAAAACAATAATCTTTTCACGTCATATTTAACGTGGTGTCATATGTCATTAATAATTTGTATATTTCCCAAAATATTACCTAGCCACTAGTGTGGCTTGGTTCGTAAATATAACTCGAGTATATTAACTATCATTATTGACTCTTAATATAATCTATTATAAATCTAAGTCATACTTAATTAGAAGAACACTATTTTGGGTTGAGTTTTCTAAAAGTACAAGCTGATTATAGCCGCAAATGTCAAGAATGGAACAAACCATGGACGTATAAACACAGATGGACTCAGTTATTTACATAAAATTGTGAAGTCAAAATTATTTGAATAGGTCACATTCTCAGCACCTTCAACTGTTGTCACGTTTTGTTTTAAAATTTCTTATTCGCGACTCACTGAAAATATTACTCCGTATTTTATACTCTACAGGTGCTATCAAACCAAAATAATAATTTCTTGGTTAGATTAATATATTTAATTGTAATCAAAATATAAAGTGTGCACATAGTGTGTATTATCATTTAATAATAGCGTATAATAGATATCAATCAATTATTTTATATGTAGAAGCACTGAAAACTATTTATAAATGGCAACGGTTGTTTATATTTCTCTGTCTTATGGATCTACGTCAAACTTCAAACGCTGTTTAATGTTTGTTTACTTTTTAGTAAAATTTGTTTTTCGATATTTTGGCTGTATTTTGAGTGATATTTGTGAAAAGTGAAATAAACTAAACGAAATATTTACATCCCGATCTCTCATTTTATTTGTAAGTACATACAATTTACATTATGTAAGATGAGGAAATGAGGAAGCGTGTTTGTTTACATTTTAATAGGCGTACCATTGTGTTTATTCATGTTCATTAATGTATTAAATAAGATATAAGTTCATGAAATTAGTAGACATTTTTGTAAGTAGACATCATCTGATTAAAAAAGATCTATCTAATATTTCTCATGGATGCAAATAAATTAGTGAAATGAATGAAACTCATTTATTTTTCTATGTAGGTTTCCAAATAATATTGACGGTCGAACTATTTTGGTAGCAAATTTAGGAGAAAACATAAAGATTTTTTATTGTAGCATTATTTTGATACCTATTAAAAATTAACTTGAATTCAACTATATTTTATTGTATTAATTTTAAAGCAAATAAAATAATATTTTAATTTTTCTATAAAGGCGTGATTTGTTAATAGTTAAACTCTCGTTTTTTTAAATTCTTTGAATGTGTTTTTATACATTATTACTACTTCCAATTTTTAAAATCTGAATAATTACCCGCAAGTAAAAATTCAAGCACGCTTATGCTCATTGCGGAAGCATCACATTCTATCGAAGCTTCAAAACATTGTGTGTCAAAGGTATCTTATTGCTGTATCCATCTATGTTTATACGTCCATGAAACAAACAATTTCGGTATACCAGTGTTGGCATGTTTTTATAAGGTAGATGCTGTATGCTTCAAATATAAAAAGATTAAGCTTTAGAAAAGTATATTTTGTTTAAAATATGTTATGAATTCTACAATTTTTAATTCATATGCAACAATAACGAGTAAATATTTGTTTCTTTCGAGATTAATTTCAGTTAATTATTAGAAATTTTTTTAGCAATTATCCTTTGATAGATTAGGGGATAGATTTAGCAATCGTCAAATCAGCAGTTGCCAGATTGCAACAGATGATTTCATTTAATCTCCAAAGAGACAAATATCTACTCGTTATTGCTTCATATAAATTAAAAATTGCAGAATACATAAAACAGTATAATCAAAATGTACTTTAAAAGCTTTATCTCTTTATATTTGAAGCAAACAACATATGCATTATAAAAACATGCCAACACTGCCAAACCGAAATATTTTTGTTTATACGTTCAGTAAACTCAACCCTATTTTGTTATAATATTAGATTTTTTAAATGTTTATTAGAATCATAATCTTAAAATAAATAATACATTTTTAATTTTAATTTCAATTGGGTACATGACGTGCAAAGATAATTATTTTGTTAAAATATATAATCGAAAAAATATGAAACAATATAATCCCCCTTATGTTATTTCAAATGCATGTATAGTATGTAAATCAATATTATTTTTGATTTTTTTGTTTAAATATAAGTTAAATCCATAAACTTTAATACCTACCATCCAAGACGAGGAGTTTCTTACTGTCCCTTATACCCCATTATACTCTTTTGTACTCCCTGGATACTAAATTTTAATTAATAATATTAATTTAAAAAAAAATATGTCAGTACTAACACAATTTGGTTTTATGGAAGGTCTGGAAATTCAGCATTCAGCATAAAAACGCTATTCCAAAGATGTAGAGATGTGAACTGTAATGTATATTCCTGATTTATTCATTATCAGAAGGCATTTGACAAGGTTTAACACAACAAAATGATAAAAGTACTGCAATATAGAGAAACCAACAGCAAGTGAAGTGAAGAGGAAAATTCTGCGAGGTGTTCGTTCAATAGGAACATAATATCGTCACCTCTCAAATGTACTTAGAGGCAATTTGTCAAGAAGCCCGGAAGGCAAAATACACGGAAGCAAGAATACTATTAAATGGTGAAAGTGTAATACTTTCAAATATTCCAATGATATTGACATTTTTGCCGATACAGCTTAAGAATTACAGCTTTTACAGGCCAAAGTAGCTAAAATTAGTAAGAAATATGACCTGGAAGTTGGCACAAAAAAATCATGATAATTAGCAAAGCAAGAACAACAGAAATACAATTTACCTGTAATAAGAAAATGGTAGAACGAATGTCAACATACATATAACACAACTAGGTACAGTGTAAAATTAACAGTAGACCCATTTCCAGGAAATAAAACCAAGAATTGAATAAGTTAGAGCAGCCAAATGTCCAAATTGTTTAAAACACAAAATTTAAATTTGAATATAAAACTCAGAATTCCACCATGCTGCCTATTATTTTTCTTTTTATACGTCCTAGAGACCTGGACTTTGACTGAAGCAACAGTAAAAAGGCTGGAAGCATTCGATATATGGACTTCTTATAGAAGAATTCTTAAACTTTCATAGATAGAGAAAATATCAAATATACGAGGACTCCAAAAACTTGATAAAGAAAGAGAAATAATGTACACAGTAACACGTAGAAAATAGAAATATTTGGGACAAATTATGAGAACCGAAACCAAATAAAAATTATTAAAATGTATCCATTAATAAAAATTCTAAGACAGATGCCGATAGAAGACCAATATCCTGGCTAAAGAACCTGAAGACTTGGTTTGCAACATCCACTACGCACCTATTCAGAAAATCAACAAAAAAACTATCAATGCCAGAATGATTGCCAACATTCGATATCCGATAGGCACTATAGGAAGAAGAATGGTTGGTTTAATTTTTACATACAATACAATATAATATGGATGGTACTTTATTTTGATGAATAATATTACCAAATATCTCCTAATCCGATTTTAAAATAAACAAAGAAACCTCTTGTTTACTAACTTAAAACAAAACCAATTATATTGTAATATCTATTTTTGAATGGTATCTTATGATCTATCATCCGTTTTCAAAAAGTTCTTGTGTTTGTACGATTTAAATTTTCTTAAAAAAAATTCTCTAGAACAAATTAATGTATAGATTTCGCTTTTGAAATGTTTCTTTATTTTTATCTTTTATGTTCACAAGGTGAAGTTAGCAAATTGACCAAAATTTTAGGTTTAAATTACAAGGAGAAAATTTAAACACTTATTACATAAACTGTTAACTTTCAATTTAAATTATATTGTTTCATTATTTTCCAACACTAAAGATGTACGAAATATTTACGCCCTTTGATAGTAATACTTACGTTCAATGCTGGTACCACGAATAGTTTGGATAAATTTGGGTCGTCCATCTACAAGTTCTTCTAATTTTTCTTCCGCAGACTTCTCGTGAATATTTGTAGATTCAACAGATGTGGTTTTGCTTACCTCTTTCTTTTCTGACTTGGTTTCTGCCATTTTAGAACTTTCCTTAGTGGATTTTTCTGATGATTTCTTCTCTGTAGATTTTTTGCTGACCGATTCAGAAGTTTCCTGTGAGACTTTCTCTGATTTTTGAGATGCTGCTTCAATCGATTTAGCTTCAGCTATTAGTTCAACTTTGGCTTCAGCTTTAGATTCTTTCGCCTCAGCTTTTGCAGATTCGATTGATTCTTGAATAAAGGATTCTGACTTTACTTCTTTCGAAACTAAAACTTCGGACTTGCCGTTAGATATTTCTTTTATTTCTGTTTCACTGGAAATTTTAACCGATGTTGATTCTGAAATATATATCAAAAATTAGTTGATGGTTACAAATAAACAAGAAACCTATGTTTTAGCGAGATTATATTTTGGATCATTTAAATCTTTTTTTGGGATCAAAACCATATTTTATTTCATGTACGTCAAAGTGTCTTTGTCTTCTAATAATCGAAGAATACTGATATAAAGACTAATGTTAAGATCAGTATCGTTTTGCACTGAACCATATATTTTTCTTAATATATTCTCTTAAATATCCTGAGCTGTTCTTTATCTTTTTTCTGTCACCCCAGGTATCACACCTGTAAGTTGTTACGGGCTCAATTAGGTGAACCGAGTAAATGATAAATTTGTTTTTATCATCAAACTTATATTGTCATATGATGTACGGTCTCTATTTTGTAATTTGTTATCAATAACAAATAAAATTTAGCTAAGTTTGTACGGAAAATAACATGGTTTCAACCCCAACAACTTTACAAATTGAAAACTTTTAAACTATTTGGTTTTAGAAAATTACTATTCCAATCCCGTTTCTTAACGATTAAAAAGTTTTTTTTTTAAATAATTTACATAATATCACTTATATTATAACATAAAGTCTCTGTAACATTTCTAGTTCTAAATCTTTGTAAATTTATTTAATATAACAAAATTAAGAGTAATCAAAAAGCATAAATTTTATGTAATGATGTTATTTATTTAATAAGGATAAATAATTTGACAGCACAATGAACATGGAAAGTGATCAGTGTACCTGTGTGTCATTTTAGTGTATATCTGCATATAATTTTGTATGCCAGGCACTATATACGTAACATATGAAACATTTTTTCATACGAATAAAAAAAAAAAAGAAAAAAAAAAACAAAGAAACAACATTACAGAACGAAAATCGTATGGAATAGAAGTTATACTATTCACTTTCTGGGTTTCTTATAAAAGACAAGTAACACAAAAATAGAAAGTATATAGCACGCGATAAGAACCAATAAAAATCTATTTCATAAGTGTCTTATCCACTATGTATTTGAAGAAAACACAACTTACCCCCTTCATGGTCTGAATATCTAGATTTTCTTTCATGTGATTCTGATCTTCGGCTTTTATTTTGCTCGTCTACCTGTGAATCTTTTCGCAAATACTTTCTGGCGTATTTCTCGTACGGATCTTCCTCATCGTCCTTTTTAGGTTCTCTAGATGAAGTTCTTGAGTATTTTCTTGTGTATTTGTTCTCGTCCTCATCCTTTTTATCAGTTATTGATTCGGTTCTAGAATATTTTCTAGTGTATTTGGCATATTTATCTTCTTCCTCATCTTCGTTTAGTTTTTTGTTTATAGCGTATTTGGAGTATTTAGATAGTAATTCGTCCGTATCGCTTTTTTCTTCCTCTATCGATACAGATCTGATTGAATATTTAGAACCAAGATCAGCGCCTAGATTCCTCTTGGAGCTGTAATTGTAGGTATCATTGGTTTCAGTTGGTTCGATGCCAGTACCTTCGACAGAAGTTTTTATAGATCTTCTTACGGTATAGCTGTCACCATCCCCTATGCCTTCCGTTCTAGATTTTATACTTCTTCTAGAGAAAGTATAAGAATCGTCATCTCCTAATCCTTCTGTTCTTGTGACGGATCTCGAAGACTTTTTAGAGTACGAACTATAGGCCTCACCATCGTCTCCGTCCTTAGTTACTTTCCTGGAATAACTGTAGTTACCCCCGTCATCATCATCTATTGAATATCTGCTCTTTCTTGTATAACTATAATCATTGTCGTTATCTCCGAGTGCCTTTCTGGAACTATAACTTGATGTTAGCTCACTTTCTCCACGTGTTTTGCGAGAACTATAGCTTGATGTTAAATCGTCGTCACCACCAAGTGCTTTTCTAGAGCTGTAGCTTGAAGTTAAAGCCGAAGAGTCACCAATATCCGTACTATATTTGTTTGCATATTTGGAAGAAAGGCTCTCATATTTACTGCTTCCACCGGTGAGGCTAGAGTCTGTACCATATTTGCTCGAACTAATCTCCGAGCTATATCTTGAGCTAGACAAACCTCCTTCTGTAGAGCCCGCTCTTCGGGAGTATGAAGACTCATAACCCCCTTCTGCGAATTAAGATAGTTTTGAGTGTATGCTTTCGTTTAACACACTAACACTAGCTGAAGCTTACTGCCAATTTAGAAAGCGCCGGAAATACTTTTATTTTTGACAAGTAGTATAAAATGTATTGTGTAGAAAATGATGTACAAGCACACTGAAAGTTAGTAGCTAAGCAGCAACGTTAACAATATAACATGAAATACTAAAAATATAATGCTTGCATAGCAGTCAACTCGTCCATTTTTTTACCACGCCGAAGGTTACTTCCACATTAATTCATTAAATCTTGTTTTTAATTGAATTTGAATTATTTTACTGCTATAACAGTGAGACTTTTCCTCACAACTATTTTTTACAAATACATTCTAAAACGTAAGCTAAAATTATCTAGGAAAAAAGTAACAAAATAGGGATGTATGTACAGTACTTTTTAAGATATTCAGTTGACTTCAATATTTGCCAATCATTAACGAACCTTAAGCCGGGATCTGACAGAACATAGAGCGGCGTTTTTCATCGGAGAGGATAAATGGAGTAGACATAATGAAAAAGACAAAATCTTAAGATGGCAACCAACGTAACGAGAAATACCGTTTTTACCCTCAATATTTTTCTCTTACGAACACTGAAATACGGCAAAACTGTCTATTTACGGTAAGTGCGTACTGTCCCGTCGTTTGTCAGTAAATTAACATGGTTCAAAGAAAGTTGGAAGCTGACGTATAGCACGTACTTACCCCACCAAACCCTCCAACACGACTAAGGTCAGGTACAGTCAATGTCGTGGTTATTTTACTATGGAGTTGTCTAACGAAGTTGTGTTGTAATTTTTATCATTGCTTAATTTGTCGAGCTTTGCAAAATTTTTACTGGCAATAATGGCATAGAACACTAAAGTTAAGCCCCGATTAAGAGACACGTTCCATTGGGGAAGTTAGCAAAAAGTAAATATTTATTAATTGTACAATACCATGGGGTGTCAACCGTGTTTTCCTTTCTTTCCACTAATATCTATTTTATATTTCTCTTTGCCGACGCGAACCAGTGAACGTTCTGTGAGATGCCAGCTTTATATATCCATTGTGGAAACAGGTTCAAGTGATATGTAAGAAAGAAATACAGTCTTAGTCTTAACACGTTTTAATGCGCCCTTTTTTTTGAGTATTATATTTGTAGTATTTTTACAAAAGCGATCCATTTTTTATATTGTTTGGTTTTTGTATAGACAACTTTATTTAAACCATAGAATCCACATCAACCACGCAGGGTTACTAGTGTTGTAAAAGCTGTTTTTTCATTCGTCGCATTGTAGTTTATAACATGTAGAGAACTTTCGGAGGAAGTAGAGATAAAAAGAGGCGTAAGGCAAGGTTGCATACTCTCCCCCTTATTGTTCAATCTATATTCGGAAGAAATAATTAAAAAATCACTCGAAAATGCAACAATTGCAATAAAAGTCAACGGCAGACCCATCAACAATATCAGATATGCCGATGATACTATACTAATTGCAGAGAATATACAAGATCTACAGACACTTTTAGATAATGTAGTAAATGCTAGTGAGGAAAGCGGACTAACGCTTAATGCTATTAAAACAAAATTTATGAAAATTTCCAAAACACAACAACAAGACAGTTTAAACATAAGAGGAGTTTCAATAGAAAAATTAAAAAAATACAGATATTTTGGTACAATTATTAATGAAAATAACGAGTATACAGAAGAAATAAAAATGAGAAATTGACAAGCTAGAGCAACATTTAATAAGATAAGAAAAGTATTATGCAGTAGAGACCTTAGTTTACAACTCAAAATAAGAATATTACGTTCTTATGTGTTTTCGGTGCTGCTGTATGGGGTGAAGGCCTGGACCTTAAAGAAAGAGGTGAGCGATTGACTTAAAGCATTCGAGATGTGGACCTACCGAAGAATATTAAAAATAAGTTGGGTAGACCGAATAACAAATGTTGAGGTCCTCAGAAAGATGACAAAGGAAATCGAAATCATGAATACGATTAAGATAAGAAAGTTACAGTATCTCGGCCACGTTATGAGAGGGGATAAATATGTGTTGCTACAAACCATAATGCAGGGAAAAATACAGGGAAAACGAAGTATTTGAAGAAGACGCATCTCCTGGCTCAACTATCTGACAAAGTGGTATAATTGCAGATCCGTCGACTTGTTCAGAGCTGCAATCTCAAAAGTGAAAATAACTGTGATTATTACCAACCTCCTTAGAGGAGATGGTACCTAAAGAAGAAGAAGAAGTAGTTTATAATTTACAATTGTGTTTTATTTTGGTTTGGAGCTTTACTTAGTTGGTGACTATTTGCTTTGTCCATTAATATCACGCAATCCTAAGAAATCCCATAATATTATTTTGAATACATTTTTTAAAAAGTTCTGTTGCTGTATTTTGTTTGTTGTATCTATGACAGTCAACGAAGCAGTCTTTAATATAATTTGCAGAAAGCTAGAGGGCACTTGAAACCCAACCATTTTCTGACCCAGCTGTAAATTATTAGACGATTTTCAGAATGGTATGTTTTTTATTGAAGTTATATACTCTTGACGAAAGTTTTGTAATCTATGAGATTTTAAAATTACTTACTCATTGTCAATTATACTATTTGCTATGCGCAAGTTCCGAAGAGCGACACCCAGTGGCAGAAATCATCGAAGGCGTTCGCACTATTAATATTTTAGTCTCATCTTATTATTAGCTTCAAATAAAGTGGCTTAAACTTGTTTATTTATTACAATAATTATTGTAATTATATCAATAATTAACTTTTGAACTAAACTAAACTAAAAATTTTGAATTTATTTTTAACTGTAAAAATTCGTAAGTATACTTTTTATGTTTAGATTTCACTATCTGACATTTAAGATTGAGAGTATAACGTTATTAAAAGATAAACGTTGTATGTAGTAAATAAAATTAATTATTAAATTACAGTATTACTATTAACATGGATGCAATAATAAAAACTAGTTTCCAGAAAATAAATCATAAAATACCTTTTTAACCAAATACTGAGTCAAAGGGAAAAGCTTTAGTTGTGACAAATCATGTTAAGAATGTGGAAGAATTAAGAAAAAATGGACCAAGCTATTTAATTGAGGCAAGTGTTATTAGACAAACTTGACTCTAGCTATATTATAAGTTTGCTCTGTTTCTTCTTGAGAAAATACTTTTTTCCTCTCCAAAAGAAGGAGGCATAACAAGAAGAATTTTTTTATTGACTGTCAATCATAGTTTTGATATCTGGGAATTCTTTATCTGCCAATACTACATCCTCTTCATTTAGTAAATCAAATAAACCTAATTCAATTGTTATTTGAGAATCACTTTTTCTACCACCTGCTGCTGGTGACTTAAAACAGATGAAGCCGCTGGGAGTAATACCATTTAAAAGTTTGAGAGTAAACCCATTTTTGTAATGAGAATAAGAGCACACACGATCTTCTGCTGCAGAAGGCACATCAATTTTAAATTCAGTACAATCAATAATACAACAAGTATTGCTATGTGTTGGTTTGAAGCAATCTGGCATTGTTACTAGGAAACTTGATTTATCTGGCCAAAACACTAATGTTGCAGTTACTTCAGGTTGATTATCTAAAGTTGAATAAAATATCCTGGATACTGTTGTTCGATAAAAAGAAAACATTGAACTTATTGGTGTAAATGTTAAGGCAGTTTTCATTTTTAAAAGAAAAATAAATAGCCTCATTTTTTGGATATCTGAACATTTTTTAAATACTTATTTTATTTAATAAATAGTTAAAAGTATCAACAGATACTGCAACAAGATCTGTTAATTGTTTATCACTTGTAACAGTCCCTTTGAAACGGATTTCATCACCATTAAATCCATTGTATCGAAAATCAGATCCAACCGCTGTATCCACAAAAACTTTTGGTAGTGTACCACATTTTTTGGGAAATTTTTTTTTGCTATTTATTTTTAATTCACTTTGTGATACATTTATTTCAGTTTGAGTATCTACTTCACAAGAATTATGTCCAAAAATAAATCTATTACAACACAATATTTTTTCAACACTATTACAACGAACAGAAATGTCAGCTTGACAAGCTTGGTCACTTTTACTGCCACCTGTACCAGCTACTGACACATCTTGTATCATATCACACACATTTTCACTCATTAAGTTGGCTGCTATATCTGACTTCAAATGTAGTTCATTTATAGAAATGAGGGGCTTATTATCTACAATAATTGGCACTTTTTTGTAGACAACGCTTTTGAAACGCTCATGTCTATTTAGAGATGCATTTTGAATTAATTTATTCTCAAATTTTGGTGAAAATATTGTTGGTATATAATTAGTACTTGGAGTACGTTCATCCTTTTTATCTTCAATACAGTGAGCACTGCAAAGAAAGTGAGAAGGTGTAGATTTCCAATTGAAATCATATCCGCTGTAAATTACAACATACCTTAATAATTGCATATATCATATGAATATTTTGGAGCGACATTAACGCCCGATCTCATAATGACAACCTTAAGTACACTTTAAATTTTTAAACTAAATTGCATAATGTATCTTTTGTCAATCCAAACATTTTTAAGACACAGAGATTATATTGGTTTAAATAATTAATTCTTTTCCTCTCAACTTTTGGGTGGCGTAATCCGAATTTGAAGAAATATTTAGCATTTTTTTAAATTTGAAAAAAAAAAAAAATGTAAACAAACTTTAACATGATTATTGTTAAAATTTACAATTTAGTAAGAAATGTTACATACTTCTGCTTTATTATAATATAAATCCACTTTTCTCGTTGTATTAATTTGTGCTTAGAAATTGAAAACCGATAGAAATTGAATTAACCATTTTTTGTTGTAATTTTACAATTTATACCACAGCATTTGTGAGCATCATATTTATTTCAATAACTGCTTATGAAATATGCTAACGTTTTGTTATCTGTGAAAGTTGCAATATTTCACCGCTGCACGGGCACGATCGTTTCTCGTATCCCCTCCAAGTACTTGCCCACAGCGAACATTGGAAGCTGATTTTTTTAAAAAATTTTTTATATGCTTGTGAAGCTGTGACTTATCTCGGACTCAGTCAACTTTCAAGAAACTCACAGTATAACAAAAAACTATCTTCAAACTAGGGGAAAATACTAGGCTTCGAACTGCTAGGTGCTACTTATTACCAAATAAACAGTATAGCCACATACATAAAAAGGAATATAGAAAACGCATCCCTTGTTACTACCTTCTCTGAAAACGACATACAAACCGTTGTTATAAAAAATGGTAGTATCACTATTACTTACATCTATAAACCTCGAAGTAAGGGCGGGACATATTGCTAGGATGTCAGATAACGAATACACAAGGAAATTAACATTTTCAAAATCAGAGGGCACAAAAAGCAGACGACGACCACGAATGAGATGGATTGATGATGTGGAAGAAGACCTACAGATTTTGTGGGTTAGAAGATGAAGGGAAGTTGCCAGGAATCGACAGGAGTGGCGACTTCTTTATGAGCAGGCCAAGATCCACAACTGATTATCGAGCCAATTGTGATGATGATGAAGGAATAGCCAAATTCTGTTTTTAAAACTTACCCCTATCCAGCAGCTCTAACAATGAAAATTCCAGTATGATCGCACAATGGAAGTGATAAATTTCATTGATTTTAAGAGAATCATAAAAAATGGCAAAAATCGCGCCACGTTTATTTATTCAACAAATAAAAGAAACTTTTTACAACAAACAGATTTATAGAAAATATATATCGAATTTTTATTTGAAATTTCCACATCGCCGGTCGCTTCAGGCGTTGTTTCTGAGAAAACGGTACATTTTACAAAAAAAGTGCTTATATACATTTTTATTTAAAATTATCTCAGCTATAGTTTTTATTTTAAATATTTTTTTCTACAGATTAGTGATTCTTGTTAAATCGATTTTTTCCGTTTTCTCTCCATTTGAGAGGGGTTTTAGAGAAACGCTGGGCGGTAGGAGTAATGAATAGTTTTGCATATTTTTTAAGGCTCCAAATTTGACATTCTCAGAAAAATTTAGCTTGTTCGTATAATTTTTAGAGGTCAAATATCTGATGACTGCACTAACGAAGAGCAACGTATTTAATTTTTTAATCTGAAATTGGACATGCACAACTAATTTTAAAAAATTCAAGGTGTTTATGATCCCCAATTGTTTAAGTCAACCAAATATTTTAAAAACTGCTATATCAGCTTTTATTTTAGGTTATTATTCATACAAACTAAAATTAATCCAATAAATCATTAAAAAGTTAATACTAAATAATTACTCTGATTATTTCTAAAGATTTTAAAACGAATTTTCTTGAGCAGAGTAGCAGAGTAGCAAAGATAATTAAAGCTCATGTAGTTGAAAAATGAATAAGGAAATTAATGAAAGCTATTGAGATCTACAAACTTGTAACATTATAAACGTGACATCCTTATTAATTTATATTTAAATAATTATTTTATTTTAACTTCTTTATTAATTTATTAATTCCTTTAACTTTAGTTTCTTGTTTTTACTAATTTTTATTTAAAAAGTAGTTGACGCCCTCTGTTTTTCTCTTTCTCTATCTGCCTTTCGCTTCTCTCTTTTTCTGTAACGTAGAATAAATATTTGACCTCTATCTTTCTGTCCAGCATACTAAATATTCTGTTTTGTGTTGACAGACAAGCTAGCTTCATGATATAGCAAAACCCTATGACATCTGTGCTAACTTCATTTATTCTCCTATTTCTGTCAAACAGCTTTTGTAACAGTGTGAATATAATTTTTTACCTGTTTTTGAAATTTATAAAAGAAGGCAAAAATTATAAAAAAACTCATTTTATGGTCTACAATATTTTCTTGGGGTAAGTTCTTTCATCGAAATCTTTATTCTATAGTTCTGCATTTCCAATATTCATAACCTCACTTCTTTAGAAATCAAGCTTCTGGAATATGATTTTTTCTCGATTATATGCATGTAGGACTTAATTTAACTAAATAAATATATTTTATTTTATCCTTGCCATAGAAATTAAACCATTTTTAATGTGTCACTAATACAAGCTGTACCTTATATTTTAGTTTAATGGCCACGTTCAAAATCATGAAAATTTATTGACCATATACATTTATTGACCATATCAAAGAATATACTGAAGAGTTTATTGACAATTTTGAAAGATTTATTAACCATTTGAGGCCTTAACTGCACATGTTGCATCTCTCCGGAGAACATAACGTTTAATTGAGAGGACACAGAAGCATTTCATCGAAGCGTCAAGTATCGTCCTCACTAGTTTATTGTTAAGCTTTGGCAGGATTGATTATTGTTTTTTTATTCTTTTTAATAAATATGTTTGGTTACGATTTGTTTTATTTGCTATCAGCTAAGAGCTCAGGTTCAATCCTTAGTTTAAGAAAAGACGAACTCACACTTGAGATACTGAGCTAGGCAAAGTATAGACCAGGGCTTCCCAAACTTATTCGTACTGTGACGCCCTAGGGACTTTAGTATTTTTTTTGCAACGCCCCCTCAACCCAATCCCCAATAATACTTACCAATTTTAGTAGTTTAGCTTAGTAACAGGTTATAGTTGTAACAAAAACACTATTTGAACATTTATATTTTTTATTAAAAGTTAAGAACGAAATCAAACATGAAACACAAAAATGAAAAGGGATATTTATTTATGTAAGTGGCTGGTTATTGTGAGGGATGTGCTTGCTTTTTGAGCACAGGTTATAAAACAGCGACTCCAGTTTAGAAATTACCACTCTCGTTTCTTTTTCTAAGATTGTGTTTAACCTGAACTTGTTTTTAATTACTGCAACTGCAGAAAAGGCGTTTCGCAAAAGTACGAAGTCGCAAATGGTAGCAGACTTTTAATGCAGCAGTGCTGATGGCATGATATTCATGAGAAAGTGAGCTCCAATAATGCAAAAAGTTTGTTTTTGTCGTATTGAAAGCTTTAGGCTGAAATCATACAACAATTCTGTCAGTTGTTCTTCTTCCTCTGTTAAATGGCGTGGGTGACCGGAAAGGGTTTCTGATCTAGTCATATTGCTTCATATCTTCGGGAAAATATTTCTCAACGTATTCGCTCGATGATAACATTTGTTGCGTAAACATATTTTTTAATGAGGAAGCAAGGATTTCTATCGATTTTTCTTGTAGAATTCTATCTTGTAGCAACTTCTTTTGAAACCCAGTAATTTTATCTGCCAATTGCAGGATATAAGTGAGTATTGTTACTCATCAAAGATCATTAAATTTTTTAAATATGTCACAGGTATATGCTAATTTTATTATAATCTCTAAATTAATGAAGTTTTGCGTATAATCATATGATTCTGTATGTATATACGTGTAAAATTTGTTTCTTAATTCGTATACACGTGCGAGTACGCTGCGTTTGGACAGCCAAGGAGAGTTGCAATAATATTAAAGAGGTGTCCTCAACCCTCATTTCTTCACAAACTTTATGGAAAAACCTTAATTTGACAGTCGTATTTTAATGTAGTTCACCACTTTAAGAATACTATCCATCACAACACTTAATTCAGGTTTAACGTTCTTTGCTGCTAAGGCCTCTCTATGTATGACACAACGTGTCCATCCGCCCTTGGGTTCCCGTTTGCCAAGCCTGTCTATTCTGCCGGTCTTCTTCAGCTAGATTTCTTGCTGATATTGCTTTTGAAATTCCTTGCATCCATGTAGTTGATGGTCGTCCTCGTTTTGTTTTCTCTGGTGGTACCCATTTTAATATTGTCCATACCATGTCAGTTGTTGTTTTTCGATGTCTTCTATAATTGATCTTTGTACATTCATTTGATTCCTTATGTCCTCATTTCTCACTTCTATATATTCTTTTTTTCGTTTCCGGTTTTATATTTTTCTGCCATAGTACTGAATTCAATGCACCTATAACTCGTTCCCCTTTGGTTATTCTGTCTTTTATAGCTTCATTAGTTATCATGTATTCATCATGCTTCATCAGTTCATTCAATTATCCATTGTTGATAGCAAAAAATCCGAGCGCGTAATAAAACAAAACAAAAGCTTAGTTAAATGACATGAAACGCGCGACAGTAGGGAACACGGGGGAGGGGAGCCGACCGGATAATTTTCGAATTACACAATTTTTGGAATAATTTTGGATAAATCAAGGGTCTATCGACTTATATCTATCGACGTTATATTTTTTATTCAATTTATTTATTAATACTTATATTTTATACTTATTTAAAGTTAAATAAATATAGTTTCTGTAATAAAAGTCCGCGCTGACACGCGACGCCAATGGGACTACGCAGCGACGCCCCAGGGCGTCGCGACGCACAGTTTGGGAAGCCCTGGTATAGACGATAAGCTCCCATGGTTGATCGAGGTATTATTTTTACAATAGTACTTCAATTCTCTTTGATAGTCTTATCGTTACAAACTCTGTTGTTTCAATATGATTATAATACCCACTTTCTATCAGTCAAATACTACAACACATGAGATAACCAGAATTTTTTTTGAGAAATTATAATTAGAAATTATAATCAGAATAAAAGATGTATTTAGAGAGAGAAATTATTAAGAGAGTTAGAGTGTTAATTAATTATAATAAAGAATATAAACAACAGTAACAAATATTTGTTGCCTTAGCATACTATGTAATTAATTGTAGTTAACTGAGATAACGGAAGTTAAAACGTAACCTCAAAGTCCACGTACTCCCTAAAGATTTAATCTTATCTTAGAGAGGAAATAAATAAAAATTAGTTAAAAGAATATTTAAAACAATATCTTAATTTTATTTGATCAAATAATACAGCAATAGTTATTCTGATCTCATGCTTATTTTACATATAAAAAAAGTGGTTAAATAAAGCAGCTCACACAATTAATCAACCAATATTGTAATTAATACATAACTAACCTGATCTCGTGGACGAAGTATATTTTCTACTCATTTCGTCCCCTACTTCAACATTTACTTCAATTCCTACTTTAAAATCAGTTAAAATAATATCACTTACTCCAGTTTTTTCAACACTGTATAGTTTATCGATAGCACTACCAGGTACTTTCTCTGGAGGTGGTTTTATAATGTAGGGAATGACCTCTTCTAAAACTCTGGGTTTGTTGATTTCGATTAGAGGTTCTACTGCTTGAAGTCGTCGAATATGGTGTTGATCTTCACTTGGATCTGATTCTGGTGTTGAAATTTGTTTGAGTGTTTCACTATCAGATCTTTGGATATCAGTAGTGGTGGTGGTTGTTTCAACAGGTGCTACGAATGCAGGAACTACGGTATCTTCAGATGATATAGAAAAAGATTTTCTTTCTTCCAAAGAAGTTTTTGTTTTGGAGGTTTCACTTTTTTGTAACGTTTTAGTTTTAGTGGTCGTTACTGAAGATTCCTGTATTCGGGATTCGGCAGCTTGTGTAGAAGTTAGTTCACTCTTTGACTGACTGAATTCGGATATAGACTGTTTGACCTCTGTTGAGGACTGTTTGAGACTTGTTGAAGACTGTTCAACTTTGGATTGTTTTAATTTTAGTTCCTCAATAAGTTTATCTTGAGTTTTGGATTTGCCAGGTAATTTGGAGGTAACCTTTTCTTGAACTAATTCTTTTTTGTCGTCTTCTTTAGATTTTTCAACAACTACTGTTGCAGTTTTTTGTTCTAAAAGTTGTTCTGTTTTGGTTTTTTGTAAAGTTGATAAGACTTTTGGTTCAGGTGTTTTTGTTTCTTCAACAGGTTTAGACGTTAGCTTTTGTATGCCTTCAATAGATTTTCGTTCTTCTTTTTTAACATCAACTGTATTTTTTTCTTTGACTGATTTTGGTACAGGAATTGAAGAACCGTTTTTTTTATTGGGCTGATCCAATTCCTTTGAAAGTTTTCGACGTAATATACTCTCTTCTAGTTTTGTTTTAGTTGAACTCTGTTTTACCTCACTTTCTTTTGATACTTCTAGAGCAGGCAGTTCTGGTTCTAGTTTCTTGGGTTTTGGTAGTTCAGATTCTTTTTGGGATAGTTTTTCTGTATTTTTTCTTTTAGTTTCATCAGATTTTTCTACTGGTGGGGATTTTAGATCGTCGCTGCTGGTTTCTTCACTATCACCTGAAAGTATTAAAACTTAAATATAACAGAAAATTAGTGACTTAGATGTATACTTAAAAGCATTTAAAAGGTAAGTGACAACTAGTTGATTTTATATATCATTAAAATACTATAATGTTGTTTTTGTGTTATGTATTGTTTGTATGTTTTGTATTATGTTGTTATTATATTACATTTTTTATGAATTAGCGTACATTTCTTAGAGGACGCAATTTTATTTTTTTTATGAGTTGGGAGAGTAAGTATAAGTTCAAGTTTGTGTGGATGCCCTTGTGCCCGGTCTACATCTTGGAAAAAGGTGGAAAGTGTTTTTGCGGAAACTGAAAAATCCACAAAACATTTTGTTAAACATTATTTGTAGAAAATTGAATTCCATATAACTTTATTTGTATTAGTTTTAATCGTAAAATGGAAAATAAAAAAGTTATAAACAAAAATAACTAAAAATTTTGTAACACATTTTCGTTTGGGCTTTATAACTTTTTATTTTATAAAAAATGACTAAAAGCAATAGCATAGAGGTTTTTTCATAGAATAATTTTAACTAAAAATTTGTTTAATTTCATTAATTTATCTGGACACGCTCTGAAGTTGACAGGGTACTTGAATACTCGCCTCTTGGAATAAGGGGTTCAAAGTGATTTCACGCTGTATCTCGTGAACTAATAACCTCTTAACAATTTTATTAGACATAATTTGTAGCAAGTAACATTGTCTACAAATTTATTTCTATTACTTTTATGGTAAAATGAAAAATAAAAAAGTAATTAACAAAAATAATTAAACATTTTGAACAAATTTTCTTTTCCACCTTAACTTTTTTTCTAGTAACTTTACAATAAAATGATGTTATAGCAATATTATAAAGTGTTATACAGCAAATCATTTTCACTATTTATTTGTACAATTTCATTATTTTTCTGGGTTTTATAGCGCTCCAAGGTTGACCGGGATCTTGATTACTCGTAAGGATACGATAAAAACGAACCGATAGACTGTTTTCTATTATATTTTTTTTATTAATATTATTTAAAATTAAATTATTATTTTCTTAACATCCCTATGTAATTATTAATTTATTATCTAGTCGATGATTCCGCCAACACAAAACTTACCCTACCTCCTACACTTGCGTCGCCCAAGAAAGTACCAAATGGATAGAGATAAAGTTCAATAAGACCACCGTACCAATATTATTCCAAGATAAATTTCTTGGTAATGAAAAGAACAAAACAACGTTAATAGACCTTCTCAAAACTTCTCTATCAGAAGTGAGTTTTAGTGTTGACCAGGCTGAATCTGTTACAGAAACAGTCATCATCCGTTCTGCGCTTGCTGCATTCTCAGCCTATGACTCTGTGACTGTCATGGCAGAACACAGTGACATTATTGTCTTTATTATTACTCACGGCATTAGAAAGGAAGCAGTCCAATATTGTGTGTTCAAAGTGTTCAATTTTTTAAATCTTGCACAGAATTTGTTGTTTCTCCATGCATTTTTAGGATACGATACAGCATTAGTAGCTTACAAGATCGATAAACATAAATTTATCAAATTTTATAAGAACAAAATGAGTTAGCAAGCGAAATAGTAGTATTTCCAAGTGAAAAGCCGAGTTATCTTTGTCCACTATAGTTGGCGAACGTTTTTTTTGCCTCTTTATATGGTGAAAATAAAGATGATTATCTAACACATGAGATATAAATGATTCGCCAAGACAATGATTAAAATTAAATTTAAATTATCGTCGCCATCTCCAACACAAAATGCATCTCGTTTCCACAGTGTTAGAGTTAAAAAATTTAGATACCAATCAAAACTTTCAAACGAACTCCTCAAATTAACGTTTTTGCATATGTAAGGAAAAATATTAAAGTATGTGTAATTGCTGACAAGTAGGCCTCAAATGCTTTGCGGTGTTCCTGAATTGTTCTGTTAAAACCTGCAGTGAAATCATGGAAATATTAAAATTAATCAAAAAATTCGAAGAATTCGAAGATGAATTATCCACAAAGACGCCAATTCTAATTTTCGATCTTTCGCAAACATTAACTTTCCATGCTGAATAAGATGCTAAACCGCAGCCTGCACCATCAAAGAAAATAAAAAAAACTAGTTAAAACATAACTTTTTACATATATAACTATGCTCAATATGATCTCGCCTGAAAATTGTCAGTAAATTAAGCCTAATGAGGATACTACTTAAAAAACGTGCCTCCAGACTATATCTGATAGGTAGTCTATAATAAACTAATAATACCATAGGAATGTTAACAAAATAATAAATTATATGACTAAAAATATACAATAAAAAACTAATGGTTCGGTTTTATCGTATTCTTGTGAGTATTCAAGAACCTGATAAACTTAGGACTGCTATAAATTTTCACAAAAAATAATAAAATTTCTCGTGAAAATTATTCTTTTAAAACCCTCTATACTATTGTTTTATATCTTTTTATTGTATAATGACCATAAAAAAAGGTAAAAGTCCCAAAAGAAAATGTATTCAACAATTTTTAGTTATTTTTGTTTATAACTTTTTTATTTTCAATTTTACAATAAAAAGTAATAGAAATAAAGTTGGTTAAAGTGGACAATTTAATATTCTATAATGTATTATAACATGTTCTGTGGGGTTTCTAATTTACGAGATACAGTGTGAAAACCCTTTGCCCCCTTTTTCGAAAAGTGTAACCGGAGGACAAGGATGACGACCCCACAAGCTTAAGCTTATCAACTTATAACCACCCTCACACATCAAAAAAAAAAAAAAAATAAATAAAATTATTGCCTCTGAAAAATGTAATCTCAATGTAACCTTTCAATGGACTGTATGATAATCAATTAATTTCGTAATTATCTGTGGAGAAACTGCGCTTACCGTGTTCCCTAGCAAATTCCCTAATTTCTTTTAACCAATATTCTTTGACGTCTCGATATACTTTTAATACAATAGCCTGTCCTCCAACGTTGTCGATTAGTTCAAATACGTGCTTGTCTTCTGGATGGTCTTTAACAGTGACTTTCGTTAACTGAAAATATTTAAGCAATATATATATATATATATATATATATATATATATATATATATATATATATATATATATATATATATAGCAAAGAATACGACCGTTGATTAAATTTAAAATATATGCAATGGTTGAATAGCAGAGGTTTTATCGGTCAATAATTGGCAAACAAAAGTCGTCAACTACTTTATTGATTTATTCGATTACGTTTCGCTTTTATTTTTAAAAGCATCATCAGTTCACTACAAATAAAAAAGATTTTAGAGTATAAGTAAATAACCAATAGGGTTCATACTTACAAAAACAATTTGTAGGTTTTTTTAAATGTTATAAAAACTCTGCGATAACTTAACATATAACGGTACTTATACCGTTTAGTTCGATATAGAAATACAATTTTTATTCTTTTACACATTTCTCATAGCCCAGAGGACACAGAAAACGATAATATTATATCGTTCTCGTCCACGGCCGCCAAAGTGGCGCCTCTGTGCGCTAGCTACTGTTATAGTAAAATTTTGGGAGACACTCGTTGGACTTTCCGAGTTTGAATTTGTATCAGACCAAGTGTCTGATGAGGCTGGGATAGGCCGAAATGATTTATAAAGACGCGTACAGATATGCGAGCCAAACGGTATACGTACCGTACGCGTGCATATCCTTGAAAATATATCTATATCGTACTGATCGCATACTTATCTCGATCCATGGAAAGCGATAAAACCAACAACGAACACATACATGTGCGAAATGATTCGTTTTATTTATAATCTGGGTACTGATTTCTCGTGTTTCTGTTTTTTACAAAAATAAAAATATGTACAATAATCAGTTTACTGTTTTCTACTTCTCTAGGAAGGAACACGTCATTCACACAATGTCGATTCGATAAGACAATAAAAATGTTCGCTGCGTCTAGTAGCGCTGTCCAAACTGAAAGACGAGCTTCTTCTAAAGTCGTGGAATAAACCTCAACATTTTGGTTCGCGACGAGTCACGATGAAACAGTACGCATACAGTACGCAAGCGGTTTTTCTGCCGTAAACATTAACGAATATAGCGTTCGTATACCGTATGCATACCGTTTGGCTCGTATAATGTGTATATATATATATATATATATATATATATATATATATATATATATATATACAGGGTGTTTCAAAAAGGTATGACATAAATTAAATCACGCGTTACGGAGACAAAAATAAATTGATTGAATCCAACTTACCTTGGTACAAAAGTGTACACAAAAAAAGTAACAGCCCTTTCGAAGTTACCAAATAAAAATTCTTTTTTTTGCATTATCTCCTAAACTATTAACATTTTGTAACAAAACTGGACACTTAATATTGTTCTGAAGCTATTTTCTTGTGGCATTGTAAATTAATTACTATTAAACTGGGAATAAGCCACAATTAAAGATAAAAATACGTTTATTGACGTTTCAATTTCCACTTCGGAAATCGTTCTCAAAATACAAACAGTAAATTAAACAAATTTTGTTTTTTTGTTACATAGTGAAAAATTCTTCTAATAATTTAATTTTATCTGACTCATTTATATTGACAATTCAGACATACATTATGGATTTTAAAGTAGACGACTTTAAAATGATATTGCCAATATTGTTGAGTTGCGCTCCTGGAACGACTTTACTTATAAGATAGTTCATTCGATTACATGAAATCAACTTTAACTTGAGAATATCCGTCAGAAAAAAATCATAGCATGTAATTCGTCTTTAAAAAGACAAACACATGACATGATGACAGTAAAATTCTCCTGTTAGTGATTCCATAGTAAATTATGAGGGAAAAACCGGGAAAAAAACCTCATAATACTATCCCGACATTGTAAGTATTGGTTCGTGAATTTAGTTTACCTTCAACAAACATCAAAATTCTGATTTTATATGTTACGTTATTTAAATGATTTTATATGTTATTAGTAAGTCAGTAACATATGGAGGATACATCATTTATGTTTTTTAAATAACGTAACATATAAAATCAGAATTTTGATGTTTGTTGAAGGTAAACTAAATTCACGAACCAATACTTACAATGTCGGGATAGTATTATGAGGTTTTTTTCCTGGTTTTTCCCTCATAATTTACTATGGAATCACTAACAGGAGAATTTTACTGTCATCATGTCATGTGTTTGTCTTTTTAAAGACGAATTACATGCTATGATTTTTTTCTGACGGATATTCTCAAGTTAAAGTTGTTTTCATGTAATCGAATGAACTATCTTATAAGTAAAGTCGTTCCAGGAGCGCAACGCAACAATATTGGCAATATCATTTTAAAGTCGTCTACTTTAAAATGCATAATGTATGTCTGAATTGTCAATATAAATGAGTCAGATAAAATTAAATTATTAGAAGAATTTTTCACTATGTAACAAAAAAACAAAATTTGTTTAATTTACTGTTTGTATTTTGAGAACGATTTCCGAAGTGGAAATTGAAACGTCAATAAACGTATTTTTATCTTTAATTGTGGCTTATTCCCAGTTTAATAGTAATTAAAACTGGACACGTTACTTTCTTGTTCTATAAGCATTTTTCATACAAAAGAAACAACAAAATCTAAGCACAGAGAAAAATTTTAAGGGGGGTGTACAGCCCTAAATCCCCACAAACTTTTAAGTACGTTCAAATCAAATGAATTATTTGTAAAACTTTTTCCTCTTATCACTTTTTCGATAAACTAGTTTTTTCCTAGTTGGCAATAATATTACAATTAGTTTCTACGGATACAATAATTACAAACAGTTCCATCAATAATAGTCAATAATTTTAAGCTATCATTTATTGTGTGAATAACATTAATATTAAAAATTTTGATATTATAAACCCAATTTTGAGTAAGTTGGATCAGATTAAATAATGGTCGTCCAATAATGGATGCACCTGATGAAGACATTTTAGAAATCATTGAAGAAGTCCCTGGAACAAGTACAGGGGTAATAGCTGATCAACTAAATGTTCCTTACGTAAGAGTTTGAAGGCGTTTGGAGGATCAGCTACTTAAACTCTATCACTTAAAAACGGTTCAAGAGTTATTGGTTCAATATTATCCTAAAAGGATTGGACGATTGGTTGTTAATGGAAAATACTCGAAATGTTAATTTTATTAGAAATATTTTGTTTATTGATAAGCCTACCTTCAGTAGAAATGAAATAACAAACCATCCTAACGAGCACATTTGGGCCGACGAAAATCCTCACGCCAAAAAAACGATTCATCACCAAAAGACTTTCAAAGTTAATGTTTGGACAGGAATTGTGGATAATAATTTAACCAATTTGTCTACCAATTTAACAATAGCCCCAACAATTTAAATGGTGATAATTATTTGTATTTCTTGGCAAACGATTTACAAGGGTATTTGGAAGAAGTGAATACCTGCGATTACCTTTGCAGGCAGTATTCTGGTCGGTGGATTGGAAGGAGTTGTGACGCACCTATTTCTTGGCCATCCAGAAGTCCAGGTCTTAACCCCATGGACTTTTATTTTTAGGGGTTTATAAAAGAGAAAGTGTATTCTGTAACAATAGAGGACGAACAACAATTGAGGGTTAGAATAATTGTAGATGCAAATCAATTTCGTCAGAAAAATATGATTTTTCAGCGCATTCGGTTTTCCTTATTAAAACGATACCGAATGTGTATTGAAGAAAATGGGGGTCATTTTAAACATTTATTGTAATATTATATTTATAGACTTTATAGACATTTTTCGTACTTGTTAATTAATTTAAGCCATTTATTTAGTTGTACGTAATTTTTTAAAGGTTAATGAAAAGGGCCGTAACTAAATAAAAACCGTTTTTGAAAAAAAAGTGATAACAGACAAACAAATTTTAAAATAATGTGTCAAACTAATGATGTCACAAAATTCATTTGATTTGAACGTACTCAAAAGTTTGAGGGGATTTAGGGCTGCATCAACCCTTAAAATTTTTCTGTGTGCTTAGATTTTGTTGTTTTTTTTTTACAAAAAATGCTTTAAGAACAAGAAAGTAACATGTCTATTTTTATTACATACTTTTATGTATGTAAACTGTATACTTTTGTACTAAGGTAGGTTGGATTCAATCAATTTATTTTTGTCCCCGGAATGCGTGCTGTAATTTATGACATACCTTTTTGAAACACCTTGTATATATATATATATATATATAATAAGGATCACGACCTTTTAATGATCTCGTCTCACTACACATCGTAGTGACATTAATCTATCAAAGCACACCTGTGCCTTGGCACAACATGTCATCAATACTAAACATAGGGTGGATTTTGAAATGTGTTCAATTCTTAAACACCCGAATGCTCTGAATAAGAGAACTGATATAAGTAACTTGAGCCAAATATATCATGCTTTAATTTTGCAGAATTAGGCTTAACGAGTTATTTACTATATAATTGTCTTCTAAGGTGTACATTTTAACATATTTTTTTATTAAATAATTTAAAATATAATTAACATATTACAATTGTCACATGTAAGCATGTGAAGTGACCTTTAATAAGAAGGTTGGGAACAGTGTGTGTCTGTCAGTGTCAACAGGGACATCCGCCTTCCTTGACAACGTCACTCCTTACATATCTCTGGTCACTCTACATGCTATGGGGCTAGGTGCAACGATATAACCTAGGAATAATATGTAACGTTCTGATAATATAACTAATAAATAAAGTAATACAACTACAGTCATCTATACTTGTTTTATTACATGTAACAACAATAAAAATAAATTCATAACTTAAATAAAATATTTCAATATTTTTACTTTCACATAGACTTATGCAACTCAGATTGCATTTACTTTCATTATTTCTTATACACTTACCCACCTATATATATATATATATATATATATATATATATATATATATGAGGTTGACTGACTTTCGCCTGTTTGTTCGTTCTAGGCTGATTGATGGGAGGATTTGATGTTATCAATACCAATTTCTTTCATTGTTTGGTCTCTTACAGACGGAATGTCACCCAAACTCATTTGAATTTTTCAAATACACCGCCCTATAAATTGGGTTGGTATTTCAACCTTGTAGTTCTGTCTTAAATTTTATGACCTCAAAGTTGGCTGTCTTTTCACGGTGTTGGCGCTATCTGTTTCAATTAACGCAATTTTACCGGCGGCAGTTGTGAGGCTCTGGTTGGTAACTTCATTATACACTATAATTTTTTAAAATTTTAGTACTAATATCTTTAATAATGCTACCAAAGGTTAAAATCAAAAAATAAATATTGCTCATATAGTTGGAAGTGAATCTATGATATTCTTAGTTCATCATTCACTACTTAATATTATAATGAAAAAATATTACATGTATATTAGACCACATGTTCTTTTGCTGTACTAATTTTTAATAAGTTGCTAATTGTTGTTGGTTAATTGATTGTTTATACAATATTACCGTATAATGTCCATTTACTTGAGCTTACTCACATACTTTTTTAATATCATTGACTGCTACATGTCTTTTTAAGGTAATACTTGTAACATCTTTTCCATGTTTGTGTGGTTCTCATATTGTACTTTTTAAAAGAACTGATGATGCTTTCAGAATACGAAAGCGAAACGTCTTCAAAATAGATAAAGTAGCCTATCAACTTTGTCTTTTTATTTCTCCACGTTGAGACCGATATAAGAACCCACCACTCGTCTGAGTGATCCTTATTATATATTGGATTGACAGTCGCACTCCTTTTCCGATATATATATATATATATATATATATATATATATATATATATATATATATATATATATATATATATATATATATATATATATTATTTTTCTATCATTACCTGTTTCTCATTCTCTAGTGATTCTCATTATTCTCAAATTTAATGATTTCTTCGGACATAATCTCAGATTATGTCTCTCAAGAGACATAGTCTAAGATGTTTCTCATATTCTGGCATAAATGTTTCTAATATTGTTCATTTTATATGTATAAAAAAGTTTAGACTTACCCTAATGCAATCTTTAAGCTGAAAAATAGATCTATCTTCTGATATTCTTCTAACCTTGCAAACCAATATACGTGCCTTGAATAGAAACAGATACCGTTCTTTGGATATGTCCTCAAATGTGATAGTAAATCTGTCGTGGGCTAGAAGTCTTCCCAATTTATGGACGCTACCTTTGTACCCTTCGATACTAGAGATAAACTTATCGTCTTGTGCCCGATGGGGGACGCTTAGCATCAAATCAAGAGCCTTCTGAAGATCCACGTAGTTCTCGCCAAGGCACGTAGTGTATCTTACCAACTCCTATAAGAAATCAAAAAAATCATCTTGTTAATTATAAACATAATCTATAGAGATTTCTATAAAACATATACAGTGAGAATAAAAATCAACCAGATTATTTTTTATTTATATTATTCTCAAGATATTTTTATTTTTATTTCAACTATATTTTTTATTGATGCACAATAACCATCAACAAATCAACAAGTTTATTTGATGCCAGTTATTCTACTTTAAAAACTTCTTTTGTATTATCTATGCTCTTTTAATTTGAAATAATCTTTGTCTATTCTCTTTTATTGTTCTTCTTTGGTTGTTATATTTATATCTACATTTTGTTATTGGTAGCGTACCATGATGTATTGAAAATTGTTCTGTTTTCTTAAAGATCCCCCAATTCAATTCGTAACCCCATACAAGTTTAATATTTATTGTATAAAATATGATTTGATTTTGAATTAAAAGATTATAAAAGTATTTATGCTTTGCAGCTCCAGCTCTAAAGCGCTGGAATGGATGAGCTGAAAATTCGAAAGTTATTATGAAATAATCATATACCTTACCTATCTTTAAGTTAGACAATCATAGAAGTTACACAATCTTGAAACAATGATTTATTTACATCCCTTACTCAAAAAATCATAAAATATACTCATAAAAACAGCTCATTAATCTGAAAAGTGGAAAATTATCAGGAACTAGAATAAAAGCATTAAAAACTAATAAATGATATAATCTTCGATCATCTCTTTATGAAAATGCGCCCAAGAAAAAATATTAGAAGAAGTAAATATAAACCTGACTATTTTACTAGACTATTTTCAACCGATAAAACGTCATAGCAACGCCACGTTTCCTACTGACAAAACTCCTTACTGCCCATGATTTCTGAGCGAAAAAATTATGACAGATCTGTCAGGAAGGTGTCTGGTAATTCTATTGTTGTCAGTTTGACAAACGTTATTGTAGCGTAATCAATTTTGGACAAACATAATGAATCCAGAATAAAGATCAAGATTTGGATACCAATCAATTCATCAAACGAAGATTTATTCCCTGTTGGATTATTTTTAAAATTAATGAAGAAAAGGAGACCAAAGATTGGCTCAGACAGATTCTTTCTTATCGCTTAACCCAACTAGAAGGATGGATCTTGGTTCAAAAACTGTCCACTTAAAATCATCACCGTATCTAGTGGACAAAAATCTCAGCAGAAAAAGTAGACACAAAAAACATAAAATAACAAACCATTCTCATCGATTTTCAGCCGTGTCAGCCTTATTTAAGCAAGGTGTTTCTGCACAAGAGTTAATTAAGTCAACAAGTCACTCAAATGCAAACTCTTTAAAATCATATCTGCAGCTGGAATCCAGTCATCATCAGAAGTTGATCGAAAATCTCCAAACAACAAATGAAGCTGGACCTTCGAGTTCCCAAATATCAATAATACACAAAATCATGCTTTGGTAGAAAAGAATCTACACACTACTGTATTAGAGTTTATAATACTGTACATTTAATATTGTTAAAAAATAAATAAAGATTATGTTTCGTTGATATGGTGCATTAATTGTCTCGTAAAATAGTCTTGTCGAATATCATTAGAGAGAAAATTATTTACCGTCAAAATGGTCTCGTGTTTTAACTGTCAAGATTTAATTCGCAAAAATTGCCAGGCAACAAACTTCCATAACAGTCGAAAATATTGCCAGTAAAATTTTCTCTCTTATGATATATACGAAAATTCCTTAAACACAATGACTGCGTGTTATTATCATTAATCATCATCATCTGTGACCACTGACAATCCATGGAGGGCCAAGGTCGCACGTTGGGGTCGCGAAACTCTAAAGTTTTACATGGTATCGAGTCAACCAAACTCATAACTCCTCAAAAAGTCCAACGTTTATCTTTTTTCCTAGTTTATCTTATTTGAGATCATTTCAGTGTTATATATATTTTGCTTCCCTGACTATAGTTGACCATGTTTTTCTTTCCTTTGCTTTTTTTTCTCATTACCGCTTTTTTAGGTCTTTTATATCCTGGTTAATTCCAATAATCCATCTCTTTCGTGGCCTACCTCTCGTTCTTAGCCTAGGTACCGTTTAATTATTTTTTAAGTACTGTTTTTACATTTCTCCTATTATCCATCTTTTCCACGTGTCACAACCAATTCAGTCGTTTACTTCCTATTTATTTTGTGATGGTCGGTCTATCAAATATTCTATTTATTTAGTATTTTATTCTTCTAAGCCATTCTTTATTTTCCTTTATAGGTCCATATATTTTCCTTAAAATTTTGTTTGACCTCCAAGTTGTACATTGTATTCATTAGTTATTGGTACCTACGTTGGGCGCCAATGTGTAACAATCTACTAGTACTATATATGATTGATGATATATATATATATATATATATATATATATATATATATATATATATATATATATATATAAGGATCACTCAGACGACAGAGAAATAAATATATCAATAAAATAACTTAATATCTTTACTTAAAATTACTATTACATATGCAACCCACATTGCATTTCAATACGCTAATTACTTGAATTAGTGTTTCAAAATTTTATATTAAAATAATACAAATATTGTAATTGATTCATAGAATCCTTTGCAAATCACAGCTCCAAGTATATTGAACCTTGGGCTGTTTGGAAATTATAAAATCGTTAACCTCCTTGGCTGTTTAACTAGCCATAATGATTAACGTCATTACATACTTATGAGGTTGAATGAAAATCTCCTGTTTGTAAATTTGGGCTGATTAGTGAGGGGAGTTGTGTTTACACTACCAACTTTTTTCACTGTGTTGTCCTTTGCAACCGGGTATTCATCCAAACTCAGTTAAACTTAAATTAACCGCCCAAAATTTGGGCTGGTATTTACACCTTGTTGTTCTGTCAAAAGTAATTTTGACCTCAAGGTTGGCTGTCTTTTTGCGGTTAGTTCGTTCCTGTTTCATCTAACGCCATTTTCCCGGCGACATTCATAGGGCTTTGATCGGTAACTTCATATTTACTATTTTTTAAGATTTTATTAATATCACTTATAATGCTACCTAAAGTTAAAATCAAAGCTTAATATCCATTAAATAGTTGGAAGTTCTTTATGATTTTCTTGGTTCTTACTCACTTATTAACATAAAATAACATATAATTAACTTTAGAGCACATGGTCATTTGCTGTGCTAATTTTTTACAAGTTCATATATGTTGTTAGTTGCTTAACTGTTTATACAAGATCAGCGTATTATGTCCATTTACTTAGTTTCATTCACATGTTTGTTAATAACATTGACTGCTACATATCTTTTTAAGGTAACAATTAACATCGTTTCCATGATTGTGTGGTTCTCATATTGTAATAATTTTTTAGATGAACTGATGATGCTTTCAAAACTCGAAAGTGAAACGTCTTCAAAATAGATAAAGTAGCCTATCAACTTTGTCTTTTATTTCTCCACCTAGAGACCGATATAAGAACCCACCACTCGTCTGAGTGATCCTTATATATATATTGGATTGACGGTCGTACTCCTTTTTCCGATATATATATATATATATATATATATATATATATATATATATATATATACTGTAAACTATAAGTTTTAACTTTACCATAGTTTGAGTAACACGCTTAGGTAGAAGCCGTCCAAAGTGACTAAAGACAAAAAACCATAAGCTAATAGGTTTTGGCTTCCTGATTTTGAGATATGCAAGGTATGATGTTCATCAATAACCTTAACTCCTCCGTTGGTTGCTAGGAAAAACTGAGCATCAAGAGTCGCTACGGTGTCTGAGACCGACAATTAAAAAAAAAATAGTTTTTGCTATAAAATTCATACAAATATTTTATATTATGTATAGGAATAATTGAAAAATATTTTTGAAAATATTTTATTGAAAAAAAAACCAGATACAAAATAAAAAAACACTAGTATAACAATATTATATTGTTAATATTGTTCTGAAGCTATTTTCTTGTGGCGTTTTAAAGAAATTACTATTTAAATGGGAATAAGCCACAATTAAAGCTTAAAGTAAGTTTATTAACGTTTCAATTTCCACTACAAAAATCGTTCTCAAAATACAAACATTAGTTTGTATTACGTACTACGTAATTTTCTGGTCTTATTCTAACACCTCTCGGTGAAATAGCCTTTTTCCATTTAGTAACTCCATCTTTTTCAATAAACGCTAAGGTATTACTTCCACCTTCTTCCTCATCTATCACATCTTGATCCGATTTACTTCCGCCATCACGTTCCTTAATTTGATCGATTTCGTTTTCACTTCCCTCATCGTCAAAATAATTTTCATTGTCGGTAGGAACCATTTCCCATAATTCCAAAAAGAGTTTTTGTTCGGCTTTAAAAGACATCTATAAATAAGAATTGTCAAAAACTTACCGATTATATGCAATCATAAGATGATAAATATTTACCTGATGTGCAAGTTATGCCAACAGGTAATAGCTACACCGTTAGTCCCTATGGACTCTCGCACCGAAAATAACATACAATAAGAGGTACAAGCAGTGGCGATAGAAAAATAAAAGTTATTTGTAAATGCCAAATGAATAAATCTGTCGTCGGTGTGTGAGACCGATAGAGACTAACTGAGGGTTAAGAAAGGAATATCACAGAGCTTTTGTGGAAATAAACTTCTAAATACGAACATGAATAAAAAAACAATAATGAATTTTCGCCAAGATAATGCCACCTATTAAATGTTGATACAATGATAAAAGACATGAACTTACTATCAGCTGCTTCAACATCTCAAAAAATACTCTGCAAAAAAATTTAGAGCAAATGAAGATGTTATTTTTAAAAGTAAGACATCTTTTAAAGCTAAACAAAGTCTCCAAACAAAGTATACAACATGTTAACTAAGACTGAATTTTAAAAATTGTTGTTATTTTAGTTAGGCAATCGCCTTAATCCTGGAAGAGATAGTAGATATTTGTTGTTACGTTAATAAAGCTTAAACTAGAG